GCATTTAATTGCATTATAATTTCAACCGCTTGCTTGCTTCACGCCTAGCCTTCGATCTGATAACCGGACGGAGCGCGCGCAAGCCTGCAAGGAATCCTTCTACAATCAACCATCCATCTCACACGTGACATGTCACGCGCACCAATTATCAGAGAGATCTGCGGTCACGTTGGGCACAACATCGTTTAGACTTTTTATGACTAGGCTTCACACATATTGCAACGTGCCCCCTCCTAGTATTTATAACCTCCTTGGCGCTGCTGTGGTGGCGTGCGGAAGCAGCGCCAGGAGTGTGTTGTGGCGTTACTTGGAACTATCCAGCGCGCGGGGCCGCGTCGCAGCCATTTTAAGAGCCGTTACAGCACGGAGGGAATTTCTCTGCTTTCTTTGCGCGGTTACGGACAACGACGGCTCCGTTCCATGGGACAGTTAATGCTTTCGCATTAAAAAAGTACGGTTAGAGCGTCTATTACATGCAAGACAAAACCAGCAGAGGAAGAAGTATATTTTGAGCGAATAACGCGGGGGTCTTCCGGTTAATTGAGCTGCATTACATAGCCATCATTCCCAAAATACGCAAGTTCTTAAAGCAACAAAACCTAGAATACTCGAGGCCTGCGAACATCTACCTCTTTTTTCATGAAACGTCCCCACTTTTGGATGACGACAGCTCGGCGATTGAAGCGAAGCCCGATGCCCCGCGTCCCTTGACGCGGTCATTGGATACGAGGCCCAGCCAATCGCTGGTGCAGCATTCGTGCCCAATCTTTTTCGCTCGACCTCACTGCGATGACGTCAACATTCTAGTACACAGGCTTCAATTATTCCTGCTGATGTTGCTAAAATTGAGGGGGACAGATAGCCAGGAGGCAATGTTTGACAATGAGCTAACGATTGCTGTGTAGTCGGACTAGGATGTACTAGAACTGGGACACTGTTCTTCATATCACATATACACTGATGCCTCCACAACAAACAACCAGTCATCCATTGGTATAGTTACTATAGTAGTTCCCGCGCATTCCATGAAAGTTGATTACAACCTCTCTCAGAGAATGTCGTCGATAGCAGCCCAGCTTGTAGCTATGCGTGAAGACCTAAGATGCATCTTCACAATACCTGCTCGGTCTTGGACAATAATCACTGACTCGAAAACATCCCTACAATCCCTCCATCGCCCATGTAAAAAAAGCCCAAATGGTCAACTATTATTGGACATTTTTTAACCACTTTGGGACGCAGTTTGTGCAGGTCACTCACTGTGCATCCAGTGGGTCCACAGCATACATGGGTAAATTACTTTCAAAATGTAATTTAATTACAATTGCAATTGCTTAGCTCCAAAAGTAGTTTAACTACAGTTACAATTACTACTACGCAAAAGTAGTTCATTGCAATTACAAATTACTTTTTAAAAGTAATGCAATTACTTTACAATTACTTATTTCTGAGAGTTACCCCCACATTGGGCCATATAACTGTAAACGAGTTATATGGCCGCTGTATAAATGTCACGCATTGTACTTTCCTTTTATGAAATTTGTTAAATGGATTATAGAACTTAATAGTTTGGAGTAATGAACTCCTGCGTTCATATATTCTCAAAACATAAAAAATGGCGACAAAATTCACAGGTGCGAGGTGAATCTCCTTAGAGCTTATGCAAATGGTATCCAAGTCAAACCAAGAAAAAATAAACTTAAAAATAATACAAGGAAACAAATATGCGACAGTACTGGCATCATAAAACTCACGTAAAAATGGCTAATAAGAGAAACTTGTAAACGACGTCAAACATTTAAAGGATACGACAACTTACGAAAACATTTCAGTCACGATGATTCGCTGCCTCTCCCTGTCTGTGGACTTGTAACATGCCGGATGTGGGTAACCGTAGCACACGAACTCTGGTTGCTTCCACAAAACTAGTGTCACAATAGCAGCAACTCTATTGCCAGGGATTCTGGGTTAATTCAGTGCACGGTAACACCCAAAAAGCTCCTGAGATAGATAATGAATTTAGGATCGTCGTGTAGCTAATCATTAGGATAGCAATGATTGTATCGATGTTATGCGTCTCATAAAGAAGACCGATTTGAATTTAGCATGGCAAGAACAACCTCGAAAAATTCATAATACACTGCAAACGACTTTATTTTCGCGAATTTCGCGAATCGCCTACAATTCGCGAAAAAAAAAATGTAAACACATTGGAATCTATATCGCGACCGCACCGCGTCGCGAAAACTAGAATCCGCGAATTATTCCAAAACTGCGGCCTCTTGGACGCCTCGATTTCACGATTTATTTGAGCGTGTTTCAGCTGGAAGATATAGACGAGCTATTATTATTATTTTTTTATAACTGTAAGTATTATTCAAAGTAACAAGAAAGTTGCCTACCTGCAAGTGTTTCCGCAAATTGGAGGTCGCCTTTCGGTTTATTGAATTTGTTTTCAGAAACGGTCCGGAGAGTTTGCTCCTCACGATTATAGTTTTTTACATTGGTGCTAATCTGTTTACAGAATTTTTCGCAACAAGGCCCCGGCAGCCTTTCCTTTTCCATTGTAGATAAGACTGTTGCAGCTTCTCAATGCAAAGCAGCACTGCGCGCCTCGGGGCGGTTCCACAGGCCAAGACGAGAGGACAACGCGTGGAGGGTCACGATAGAGGTGTAAAAACAAAGTGCAAGCCAAGCCCTCTATAAAAAAAGAAGCCTTCAACGAACAACAAATGCAAAAACAAGCTCCCTACAGCTAAAGCCGCGGTTTGTAAGTTTTGGAATCTCGTCCAATCAGGCTGACAAACGGTTGAAAGGGTTAGGAAGAGCGAACACTAAATAATGAAGATTTATACAAAAAGGTAGACGAGGATTGGGAGAAGGAAGAGCAGTGTAGCAAGAACAGTTGGAAGTAAGGCAGGGTGAGTCGTGTTAATGAGACCTGCTGCTTCTTTGCTTCTTCGCCTCGATGTTAGAGTAGCACGACTTACTGTTAGTGGTATCAACATACGAGATAGAGGAGAAGGACGTGAAAAACTCATAAAGAAAAGAGAATAATTTCATGAACAAAAAAGTTCCAAACTTGACTGAAATATGTAAGCAAATATGCTAGCGGCGAAGACGCGTAAGGAGAACCTCGAACCTCCCCGCCTCGACCGGATGATATGATCGGAGCCAACCAGCTCGACTTCGACCTCCGATGCCCCCGTGTGGGAATGAGAAATAAGAAAGACCCCTAGAAGCAGGAGCAACAGGAAGCAAACGAGACGAAGAGTCAGATTCAACTACGACAGGAACGAAAACGGACGCGAATGTAGCCCTCATTTATCAAATTATTTTTCAAATTCTTCATTAAATCGTTTTACAGTCTACAAAATCCTTCATTTCGTTCTATCCCAGCCTCTCTTTCCCATCCGTCTTTTCCATTTTTTTTTTAGCAGGTTGGGAGACGCTCTCTCCCCTGTCGCTTTGGCTGTGTTGTCGTCTCCGTGGCCAGGGGGGAAAAGCGCCGCCGCCACAAAATCTTGCAAAAGTAATTGTAATTGTGCCTGAAATTTAGCAATTACTGACGCTAGAAAGTAATTAAATTACAATTACAATTCCTTTTAGCCAAAAGTAATTATTACAATTACAAATTACCAGGAAAAGTAATTAAATTACAGTAATTTAATTACTGTAATTGAATAACTACCCAAGTATGGTCCACAGTCATTGCGGCGTTCCAGGCAACGGAATGGCTGACGCTGTGTCAACAAATGCTCAAAACTCCATTCACAAAATCTAAGCCCAATTTACTAGGTCAGACAAAAAGAGTAGTAAACATACTGGGGAAGACTATAGCCACACGCCTCTGGGATGACGCCACTGGTCAATGCACACTTTTACGAGCCAGCGACCCGTCTTGCTGGCCTGTCCTCAGTATGAACATGAGCAGAAACAACTCAAAGAGATTTGGGTGCCTCCCGGAGAAGATCTTGGCCTTCGCAAGCTACTGGGTCCATGGAAAACGAAGCCTCCGCCACAACAGCTAGAACTGCTCTTTTGGGATACCTGTCAACTATAGGTCTCAGAAAGGAGTTAATTTTGATACACGTTCTTTTTCATTTAATTTTAATTTTCTATTTAATTTCCTAGTATTTGTGTGTGCCTTCAACTGTTCCTTCACCTATTTCTTCTCTTTCTCCAACCTCACCAGAGTAGCCAGTCAGGAGATACCTCCCGGCTAATCTCACTGGCTTCATTATCTACATTAAAAAAATATACATATATACACTTCAGTTCCGCTCGAGATTTCAGGCTGGACTGTCTTTCGTTTCCCTGCAACCACTATGATGCAAATAAAAAACAATGAACACGAAATTAACAATATACTAGAACACTGTAATCTATAATTTGAGGGTTTGGAAAGAAGAGGGTAATTGTGGAAACTATATATGTATAATCTATAGAAATCACGTGGTCACGTAGTGCACTCCTGTCTCTTATTGTCAATGATAATGGAGACTGGGCGATCAAATATTACGTAACTTAAAGAATGGTCGAGACGAGAACAAATAGGGTGAGGAGGTGTTAGCAAAAAAAGTCTTCGAGATGGTTGTTGTGATAAAAAATTAGATGAAAAAAGTGTCTAGGTTAGCTGCCTGGCGCAATCTTGATGCGCAACCTTGTGAAGAGTAGTCCGAATAAAGGTGACAAGTGATCTTGGCGTTCTCATAGTGCACGTTTATCTCGTATAGGAGGATGGCAACCAAAAAAGGGCAAAAATTAGACGAAGGACAAGTGAGAGGAGTGTACGCGACAAGCGGCGAAAACGACAAGCGTTCGGCGCTTGTCGTGTACATTCCTCTCACTCGTCCTTCGTCTAATTTTTGCCCTTTTTTGGTTGCAATGCCTCACCAACTCGCCCAAGTTACCACTCTTATGAGGAGGATGGCAATTGATGAACAATGCGTTCTCACACTCCCCGAAAATACATTCTAATGTCTCCTGAACCAATTTGAGTGACTACTTCTTTAAAATGCGTGTCATTTATTAGAGGGCTTTAGAGGTAAAGGTCATTTTTGAATTTTTCTCGTGGTCAGAGAGTCAGAGTCCCCCGGAGAACTTATTTGTTCCCTCCGGAGAGTACGTGATCGATTCGGATCACGTTACTCCATAAACTGTTTCCAGAAGTCGCAGTTTTTGTCGCCGATGTCGTACTGCGTAGAATAATTCCCGGGTTGAAGCCACAAGACGGCAGGATCCCAGGGAGTGTATTGTGTCCAGTTGACGCCGTCAAGCATCGGTGACCTGCGGAGAAAACAGTGGCCAACTATTTCAAGGGGGCCTACCAAAATTATGTTCTCAATATTTTCAACTTCTCCATATCTTGCATCAGCCTGTTATCGAAATTCCCTGACCAACTTCTAATGAGACGGAATGTGTATTTCTCAAGTGAAAACACTGGTACATCCGGCGGTCGAGAAGGTGCTGGCTAACCAATGGATCACAATACCTGGCCATCATCGGCTTTTATATGTTCTGCTGAACAAAAGTATACGGGTTCATCCTATGAGATCTTTAAAGGATACTAAACTTTAGTAGTCTCTTGACAGCGTGCTGCATAATAGATGGTTCACACAGCCCCCTTTTTCTTACGTGACGCTACGTTGCAACAGCTTCCGTCAGCTTGCGCACAGGTCATCGGGACGTCCGTGGTTCGCATTAAGCGTGCTACCAGTTCGAGGATATAGCCTGGCACGCGACGTTCGAGAGACGAATGTCTCAGTGACTTATACGTAACGCCTAAAAAATGTGCTCCGTGAACAGGCCTTAAGCATACGAACACTACGTTTGGAAGAAGACAAGGAGCAAGCTGTGCGGAAGGCAAGTTCGTCTGGTTCTGCGCAGGGGGTAGCGGTGACGTCAGAGCGCCGAGCCCTGATTGGCTGATCGCGACCCCCTATCTGAGCGTCGTCTGCTCCTTTGCAACGTCGTCTGCGTCCGTCTTACCTTTCCTGCGACTTTCGGAAGCGCAGGTCTTTACGAGCGAGCTCGACTTCGCCTTTCAGAGAGGGCAGACGAAATAACTGGAGCGGTACGTTGTTTTTGTCTAACAACTAGCAGACGCGCATCAAGGAGAGAAGTCAAAGGACTCACTGGCAGTGTTGTACACGTTCCTCAAAAAAAGGAACGAAAGCTCGTTCCTCGTTCCTTCTGATTTTTGGAACGCGTTCCCGTTACAAGTTACATCTGTGAAAAAGGAACTCGTTCCCGTTACAGTTTAAAAAATGGAACGTATCGTTACATATACGTTACATTTGTATTTTGCTAATTACTATATTTAGTTTATTCAAGCAGAGATTTTTCTTTTTATCTAACGCATTAGAAGTCATCATACGAGTGTGTATGTCCTTACGGAAGGGCAACAGGAGAAAAAAACAAGCGGAAGCAGGGTTTCATTTGTTGATATATTCAAGTTAAAAATCTCAGCTTTTAAACATATTTATGTTTGTAGTGGACGATTCAGACGAGCCGAATGTACTTTTACCCAACATTGTACGAGCGTTTCACAGCAACCTCCCACGTTTCAATTGAGCGAAGTCCCCTGTTCGAACTTAACAACAGTTGCTTCTCGATGTTGCCGGCCGCAAGACGCGCCAATCGAGGAGAGGGTAGGGCTTTTGAAAGGTCCGTCTTAAAAACTACAATTACTTCTTTGTAAGGTTGGCTTTGTTGTTCATTTTGAAGGTGTGTTTGTGTGTGTGTGTGTGTGGGGGGGGGGGGGGGGGGGGGAGGACGGGAAGGGGGGGGGGAGGGAGGGGGACAAGAGAAGAAATATTTTTTTTTGTATCTTTTAAGTGACCAATGTTCGGGACACAAGGGTGCGTTCGATGTCTGGCAGTCTGTGATCTTGTTGTAACTCTAGGCCTCGTTATGGAAGATCACAAGTGGCTGTAGTCGGCCTTAGATTTCTGGGTGTATGAGGATTCGTGGAACCAAAGAAAGTAGCTGAGCTTGAAACAACCATCTTTCTTTGTCATTTCCTACGACTAAAAGCCTTGCTTTTTGTACCGCAGTTTCGGGCACTCAAAAATGAATCAATGTCCACCAGCTCTCCTGCACTCGAAACTGTTAGCAAGCGAGGACCACACAAAATAATCCACAAGATTAGTAGCCAAAAAGATAACGAGATCCTGCACTTCGTAAAGATAGTGTTTTTGTACTTTCAAAATTTTCCTGTTCGAAACAAAATAAAAATTACCCCACTGGACGAAAAAAGGGAACGCCGTTACTCTTTCCGTTCCAGTAAAAATGTAACGCGTTCCCGTTCCAGTTCCAGCGATGCAAAATGGAACGGCGGCGTTCCTTCGTTCCTCCTAAAAGGAACGCGTTCCAGGAACGCCGTTCCTTGGAACGCCGTTCCGTACAACACTGCTCACTGGCGAGGTGTCCCGAGGCGCCGAGGTTTGTTTGCTAAGAACGGAGAGTGAGGGTGGCAAGGGCGACGTGGTGTTTTCGAAGTTCTGTGTTACGTGAAATTGCGTGGTGTTCAGCTCGGCAATCTTACCGCGGTCGAATCAGATCGCCGTGCAGCTGAAGGAGTGCAGAGTGAAAATGTTCGCCGCTCGGAATGTGCGTCAAAGCCGCGATCTGCTCAACGCTAAGCCTATTCGCGCAGTTCATCGCCGACGGACGAATTACTCTAAAAGAAATCGCCGAAGTTCTCACTATGCACCGGACATCAGTACGTCATGGATTTCATTCCGCGATAGCATCGATAAAAGGTGCCATTTCCACGGGACGACTGACGGAGGCTCCGTGATCGAATTTGGCTACGCACTCGTACTCGTAGCCTCTGTACCCCGCAGAAAAGCGCGCTTGACGAGGCAGCTGTGGTTTGGTTTAATTTGAAATAAAATAATTGGACACGTTTTCTTTTTCAACATTTCTTTACAGGAGCATGGTTGCGCTATAAGCACGGGGAATTCTACACTGTTAGAAAAACTCCTGTCAAAATATGAGACACATACATGCTAACCTTGTTGCCACAACATGTACTGTATTACCGGACTACAGAACATGTTCCATACCTCTTTAGTACGGGACATGTTGTTGCTATATGGGCAGCCACAACAAGTTCCATACACCATCATCACGGAACAAGTACTGTATGCTACAGGAAATGTACCATCGTGGCACACAGCAGCACATGTTCTGTTGCAAGCCATGCCAGTACATGTACCATTTTTACGAAGTACATTACATGTTCCAATGCGTCCAAAACGACACAGGTTACATTTCTTGTACGTACGGAAAAGTTCAGTCTTGTTCGTGATAGTACTCGCCCCATTTTATGTTACTGCCGCTATTCATGAGTACATCCGGGCTTTGTATGTCACATGCCAAGCTCCTCCTTGAAAAAGTTGATATGCGACATGCAAAACAGGGATGTCCTGGCAGTTTGCAGGCGCAACTTGATGCACGTCTTTCCAACATAAAATTACCTGCAATGCGCAAATGTTCCCTAAACTTGTATGTATGGAAAATTTGAACTGTCGTATCTAATGCGAGCACTATCCTGAAAACAGAACAATGAATCTGTGACATATATACTCAATAGAAAAGCCAGGAATGCCATGAGAAAGTGTTCACATGCTACGTCAAGTTTAGAGAGCATTGTACATGTAGTGACGGGGATAAAGGCAGATAAACATTTGTAAAAAAATCGTTATCAAACTAAGTTCACGCTTGGTCCTTTTGGTTCCAACCCATAGCAACGGACCCATTGCAAAGAAGACTGAACAGTTTGCTGCTTCAAAAATATTTACATTTATTTTTCTTTTAAATGACTAGAGCAGATACACAATAAAAAAAAAACACAGTTCATGCCGCAAATATTTTGGGGGGCAGCTCAGCCATAAAAACAATATCAAAGTGAGCAGTCCCCTAAAAAAATGTGACAAAAAATTATGCTAACATGCTACATCTCGAAAAGAACCATCTTGGCCTATACAACAAATTGTAATATTAACAATAGAAAAGAAAGATTAATCTAAACAAGCACCGAAGTTTCTTTCCACTTCTTTTGGAACTTCGAGAACTCTTGGAGGGCTCCCTGCGCCTTCAGATGCACCAGAGCAACTTTTCTTGACGACTGCCGGGACCCCTCCTGCGGGTTCATTGCCACAAGTCGCCTGAAAAAAAAAGATAACATAAATAATGGGTGGGATTTCTTAGAGGAGGATGTATAACAGAAGCTAAGGAGTTCCTGGCTCCTTCTTTAACTTCTCTATAGGTTAGTAATCCAATCTGGACAAAATCTAAACCTCGTCTATAGTATACTTTCAAGCCGAGACACGCCCTTAATTTGGACAGTCCGTGCAGACACCATGAGCCTCCAAGTCTGATCCTTGCATCAACACGAATTGTGATTGTACACAAAAAAAAAAACAACAACAAAAAAAACGATTCAGCTTACTGGCATCAGTTCTCAGTAATAACTGGACACATTTCGGATCTTGTGTCAGCACACAACGCTAAAACATTCTACAACCCGAGACGGAAGCTACAAAGAAGGACGAACACATCCGTCTCAATTGAAACGTATGTCTTCGAAGCCTCCATCTCGGTTTGTAGAATGTCATATTAACCAGCTCGCCTGTCTAGTAAAGTTGTACCCAACGATACTTCGGTTAAAAAAAGGAATTCACAGTACCAGTAAATGCAATATTACAAAAAAAACTTGCCTGGAGTGCTTAAGCAGAATATTCTGGTTATTATTAGAGGGAGGTTATCATTTGAGCCCGTTCTCGTTTCGCCCTTCTCACTTGGCTCTTCTCAAAACAACCCTTCTCAAAAAGATCTTCTCTCTTGGACCTGGCGCATTTGGTCCTTTCCCGTTTCGTCCTTCGCATTTCAACCCTCCTCATTTGAGTCCGTTCTCGTTTCGCCCTTTTCACCTGGCCCTTTACAAAACAGCCATTCTCAAAAATATCTCGCTTTGACCCGTCGCACTTGACTCGTTCTATACGAAAATCGTTTTTTTTTTTTTTTTTGGGGGGGGGGGGGGTTATATTAATAAGTACATTGATATATTTTGTGCGTGCGTGTGTGTGTGTGCCACGCTACAGGCATACTCTCTCTGCCAAGGATTTTAGCAGTGCGTCGAGATTGTCGTGAAAAGCTACTAGCTGACAATAAAACAGACCAACTATTTATCGCAGCCAGATCATATTGCGAAATGTCACGTTTTTTGGGGTCTCTCGACCTGGGACAATGCCACCACTTCTATATTGCAGTGTTTCTCA